CCCAGAAAGCGCTGCCCTCTCGCGCGGCCGATGCCAGGGCCCGCTGGCGGGCCCCCGGAGCTGCACAAGCCGGCACCTCCTCCACTTCCTCCTCCTCCTCCTCCTCCTCCTCCTCCCCCTCCTTCCTCCTCCCCCTCCTTCCTCCTCCTCCCCCATCCCCTCTCCTCATAAATAACACTCCTCCCTGCCGCACCCACCGGCGTGTCGGCAGGGCGGCCCAGGTGTTCCGCCCGAGACCTCCCAGCCATCTGTGATGATCCTGCTCGGAAGGAGCAGCAGGCTCACGGCTGGAGGTCGAGTCCTGCTCAAAATGTTTTTGTTGGGGGGGGAGGAGCAGGAGATGGGAGCGGAAGGAGCAGCAGTCTCGCGGCTGGAGGTCGAGTCCTGTTCGAATTTTTTTTTTGGGGGGGGGAGGAGCAGGAGATGGGAGTGGAAGGAGCAGCAGTCTCGCGGCTGGAGGTCGAGTCCTGTTCGAAATGTTTTTTTGGGGGGGGGAGGAGCAGGAGATGGGAGCGGAAGGAGCAGCAGTCTCGCGGCTGGAGGTCGAGTCCTGTTCGAAATGTTTTTTGGGGGGGAGGAGCAGGAGATGGGAGCGGACAGCGAAACTGTGCACGAAAGTGCCCGGTGCTCATGAGAACGCTCTGGGCGCTGGCCACACGCAAAATAGTGGCACCAACAGATCGGAGACCAAGCCCCGTGAATGACCACGTCAACTTAAAATCCCGAGTCCTGTTCGAAGTGTGGCCCTCGCATGAGCGCCGCGCACACTCGTCGTGAACGCTCACAACAGCTTCACGGATAGAGAACGGGGGATTTTTCCGAAATGCGGCCGTCCCCTGAGTGCCGCGCACATTATCGTTTCAAACGTGCAACAGCTTCAAAGATGAAGGACAAATGACTTCCAAAAGGTGGCTCTCGCCTTGGCGCCGCCCACTGTTGGTCGTAAAATAATGAAACAGTTTCAAAGAAGGAGGACGGGTCGTTTTGAACGTGTGGTCGCCTTAGTGCCACGCACACACGTAGTAAAAATTTGCAGCCGTTTCACGGATTGAGGGCGGGTCCTTTTCAAACTGTGGCTCTCGCATTAGCGCCGTACGCATTCGTCTTATAACGTTGCAACAGTTTCACGAATGGAGGGCGGCTCCTTTTCACATTGTGCCTCTTGCCTGAGAACCGTCGACAATCGCGTAAAGTTTCAAGGATGGAGGGCGGTTCCTTTTCAAAATGTGGATCTTGCATCAGCGAGGCCAACATTCGTCTTCAAATTTGCAACAGCTTCACAGATGGAGGGCAGTTCATTTTCAACACGCTGCTTTCGCCTGAGCGCCACGAACAGTAGTCTAACAGGTTGAACCTGTTACAAATTTTCGTACGGTTGAAGTCCCAGGAATGGCGTTCTGGTGTGATTTCGTAGAAGTGTCAGGTCGTAGCAATCACGTTGGATCGCGGTGTTGAAGTCGCAAGAACGGTGCCCTGGCATGACTCGGGACTGTCAGAACGCAACAATCACGTTGATCCGTGGCGTTGACGTCCCAGGACTAGTGCTTTGGCAAAGTTGAAGACTCTCGGACGGCTATCTTCTAATGGGCCACTTCCCGCAATGAAGAAGGAACTTGAAAGAGGAGGGTTGATTACAACATCGTTGACGCGTAGTGCGTTTGCACTCCTCCTCCTCCTCCTACTCCTCCTCCTCCTCCTCCTCCTCCTCCTCCTCCTCCTCCTCCTCCTCCTCTGGTCGTCAAATCTTCCTCCCTACCGCATAATCTCTCTTTTCCCTTCACCATCCCTCATTCCCCGTCTCCTCACCCTCCTTCTACACCCCATCCTCCCTCATCGAGGGGGAAGGTTGGGGGGGACTGGCTCGGAGGGGAACATCGGCTTGGAATCGGCGGTGCATCGCCGGTGGATCGACGGTAGGCACTCGATTGCGAAACCGCACGTACCTGGGCGGGGGTGGGCTGTCGGGTCCCTGTCGGCGGTCGATGTGCGATTGGCCTGTCCCGCCACTGGCGTTGCACATGACTCATGACTTCCCCCCTCTTCATCATCATTCCACCTGCCTATTCACCAAATCCTCCCTCGTCCCCTCACCGTCTTTCCTCATCCGCCGCTCCCTCCTCTCTCGCCCCGTCGCCCCTCCTGTCCCGGCCCCCGTCCCGCGTCTCTGGGGGTCCCCCGAGGCCTCCGGAGGCCCAAAAAAGACCTCAAACTGCGACCCTCGATCATCCTCATCCTCTCTCGCCCTCCGCCTCCGCAGCCTCTACCGTGACGCGTTGGCGACGTCGGCGATACATCGGCTTGAGGAAAATTCTGGGTCCATATCGAGCCATCGGATATACGGCGCGATCTTCCCATCACGTCTGCTCGAACACCACCTGGGAGGCCTAGACTCCTGCAGGCCCCCCCTGCTGTTACTTGGACCGGAGAGATGTCACGATAGGGCTGGCTCAGAGATACGTTCCAGGACTTCCAGCATATCTGGCGGCCCTGGTTTCTGCAGCACCCGTGGAACATCGGGAAGCCTTGGAAATCCTGGAATCACGGGAACATGTCACTATCAGAGCCTTGTTCGGCAGCGAGCGAAGGGAGCAGTGAGAAGGAGAAGGCCCTCTCAGAAGGCTCGGAATGAAGGGGCCCCAGGACACACAAATAAATACACTCAAATAACAGGATTCCCCATATCTTCCCATATTTCCTGGGTTTTTGTCTTCCCCCCCACTTCCCATATTTTTCCCATACTTTCTGGGGAATCAACGATGAATTGTGTCTGTGTGATCTCTGTCCCTCCTGACGGAAGTCTCCCCGGCCTTCCGAGGGGTCTTCCGAGCCCTCCCCGAAGACACGGCACGCCCCTCGGAGGCCAGAGGCCCTCGGAGGAGCCCCGCCGCCTTCTGAGAGGGCCCTCTCCTTCTCACTTCCCCCCCGCTCGCCGCCGCACCTGAGGACGGGGCCAAGGGGGCACACAGGGCTCCCCTGGCGCGCCGCCAGAGAAAAGGGGAACGAGGAGGGAGGGAGGGGGGAGAGGGAAGGACGAGGGAGGGGGAGGGAGGAGCGGCGAGGGGGGAGGGAGGGACGAGGAGCACGGGCGAGGGCCCTCTCCTTCCCGCTTCCCCCCCTCGCTCGCCGCCGAATCCTTCTCGTGACCTCTTGCTCCTCCACTTGTTTTGTGGATGCCACGACAATGGACACCCTAACAGTCCTATCGTTGAATTTAAGATGTGCTCAAACTGTCGGAAACATGTTCTAAACACGCTTTGAACATGTGTTTTGCATGTTCAGAACATGTTTAACACATGGTTTAGACATCTGGAAAGTATTCGGCATAATGGTCAGGGATGGTCCTCGCCGAGAAAAAAACATGGGCGGAGGAGGGGGAGGAGGAGGGGGAGGATGAGGAGGAGGAGGAGGATGAGGAGGAGGATGAGGATGAGGAGGAGCAGGAGGAGTGATGGTCCTCCACAGCGCTCGTTTCGCGCGCGAGCGCGGGAGCGCACCCCTCCGCCGGACGCCGTCACGCGGGCGGCGCTTCCCCTGGCGCGGCCCGCTCGGGCGCCCGAGCCGCCTCCGCGTCGCGCAGCGCCTGCTGGCGCAGGGCGCCGCCGCCGCCGTCGCCGACGTCGTCGTCGCCGCCGCCGCCGTCGTCGTCGAGTCGTCGCCGCCGTCGCCGCCGTCGCCGTCGTCACCGCCGCCGCCGTCGCCGTCGTCGCCGTCGTCGTCGTCGTCGCCGCCGCCGTCGTCGTCGTCGTCGCCGCCGTCGTCGTCGTCGCCGCCGTCGCCGTCGTCGCCGTCGTCGTCGGGCTGGGGGGGAGGGGAACGAGCGACCAACCATGCGGACAGGCGTGCAGGCCAGGCGGGGGCCGTGGCCTCCAGGATGTGCTGAATGCTGAGCTGCGCGAGGCATATATATATATAGAGAGAGAGATACTATAGGTGGGGAGATTCCTCCTCCTCCTCCTCCTCCTCCTCCTCCTCCTCCTTCTCGTCCTCGTCCTCGTCCTCGTCCGCGTCCTCCTCCTCCTCCTCCTCCTGTCCTGGCTGGGGAGGGTGGCTCGGGGAGGGAGAGGACTGCCACCCCCATCAAGGCGAGGCAGCAGCTTCAGTGACATCAACGGATCGTTGAGCAGGATGCGTCTGGCTAAAGCCAGCAACCGTCCTGGTGTACAGCCTTGCCGATGCCCTGCCAAAGCGAACACCAGCTGCTGTCACCAGCCCGCAAAAACTGGCTCGACTGGAAGGACGAGGAGGGGGACGAAGGGGGAATGCCCCGAGGCGGCATGCTCAGAGCAGGGGGGAGGCGAGGAGGAGCTGGCCTGGGGGGTGGGAGGGGGAGGGGGAAGGAAGCGGGGGATGGACGGCGAGGACAACAACGAGAAGGACGAGAGGCCGAGGCCGAACAACGAGGAGGACGAGGAGGACGGGGAGGGCAAGTGGGCAGAGAAAGAACGCTCCCGTGGAAGATCGTCTCCCGTGGACGTGTTCTGGGCCGCGATGGGGCCTCCAGGAGACCTCCCCGGCGACCTCCAGAGGCCGTCGGGGGAGAGAGCGAGAGGGAGGCTCCACGCGCGCCTCCCGCCCTCGCGCCTCCCGCCCTCGCGCCCACGCCGCGAGGGCCCGCAGGAGGCGGAGGCACCGCACATGGACATTGGACTCGAACCCCGTGGCCCAAGATGCCCCCTGGACCTCCCGAAAATAATAGGGACGGCCTGAGCATGAGTGGACGGAAATACTCGAACCCCCACAGCACCGCCTGCACCGAGATCAACACAAATGTCGGGGGGGGGCGGGGTGAGTCAGAGTCGCCCTCGAATGTGCAAGGGTCGGGACAGATTGTCAATCTACTGGAAGCCCCCACAGTTCCCTCCGCCTCCCCAGCCTCCTCTCACTCCTTCTCCCTGGCCACTTTGCGGGGCGCCACGCCCGCAACGCCGCTCCCCCGTGCCCCCCTCCGCCCTGGCCTCCTCCTCATCATCATCCTCCTCCTCTTCCTTTTCCTCCTCCTC